CGATCAGTATAAAACGAACATCCCTCTCTGGGATCCTGTTCAATACATAAATGTACCAGCGCAACTAAGCGGTCAAGACAAACCGTACGGTTGACACTACAACCGTTCCGATGGGTTGTTCAATTCCATCTAGGTTGTGAACCAACGATTCTTGTTTCGCAAGTAACTGATATAGTGATCTTCGGTACGCCCGATGACGACCCACTTATCTACATGCAAAACAACAGAACGTGGAACTTATTTAACCAAACATAATTCTCATTCATCAAGGAATAACAAGTGTAATATCCACTAAAGCAAAGTTTAAGTATATAACACCAACACACCCGTGTATTACACGGGTGCTCTTAAAATCTAAAATTAATGAGAAAAAGTAGTTGAAAATTTAAATACCTTTTATAAAAATATATATATTATTATATGTTTAGTATGACACTTTTTATTTGTGCGGCTTACATGTGTTATATTATAATATTTTTTTAATTTACAACATATAACTACATCATACATAAATATATCAATTAAGAAATAATTTTATTTTTCTAATGAATTTTAATAAATATTATTATTTTTTATTATTATAAAGATAAATATAATTTATTTATTTCATATATACAATATGGATGTCAAATCGAAGATAATCAAAAGATGATTAATTTGATATGTTATATATATAAAATCGATAAGAAATACAAAAGTTATCAACTTTTAAAATACATTTACAATTCAGTAGCTAATTGAAGGAAGCAAATCAAAAGTCAGAGATATATTAGTAACTTAGTGTCTCAGTATGTAAAATTACAAAAAACTAAAGGATTATATTAGTACAAGTGATATTAAAATACCTAAGTTAGCTAAATAATATTTAGGGAATGACCGAACCTAGATTATTAATTATTAATATATCAATATTATTTGTCCAAACCTAATTACGAAGCATGATTATTCGCCAAGTAGGATTCTGAAACACCAGAAGCAGTCACGTAGGCTCTGTGCATTCTGAAATTATATATAAGGGGGATTCACACCTAACTTACACAATATTCTAAATCTATGAAAATATATACTAGAATGATTTTGTGTGATATATCAATATTAACTAATATATTTTAATATTTTACAAGACAATTTATAATTTTATTTGCAATTATTTAGTGTTATTTAATAAAATATCATTTATTTCTAAAGTTAGATGAAATTATTTTTATTTCATATATGCAATATAAATTTCAATTCGAGATCTCTAAATGATGATTAATAATATATCATATACAAAAAAAATAAAATACAAGAAAAAAAGTTTGAATTTTTTTATAAAATGCACACTCATAATAATAACCATATGAATTAAATAAAAAAATAAAAATGTAATATATGATTAGCACTGTCAAACGGGCTAGTGGCCCGCGGGCTAGTCCGCACGCCCGCTTAAACGGACGGGCTTGGGCCTTTGCTTGGCCAGCCCGTTCAATCGTGGGCCTATTTGGCCCGCCCCGTTTGGCCCGCGGGCTGGGGCGGGCTGGCCCGTTTTTTTTTTTTATAAACTATTTAAATGTAGTATTTTTTATTTTATTTCTAATTTCTATCTTGCACATGAAACATTTTTTTTACATAATAAAAATATTAATAAATCAAATAATATTTTATGTCAATTAAGTCGTTCCTGCGCGTGAATTTCCTATAACTATTGATAAAAAAAATAAAAATAAAAACTAGATGACAAATATTTAACATCATTACACATGAAACCTTACTAGTTTATTAACATACTAGTAAATATAAGAATAAACAAACCAAAAAATATATAAGAGTGCAAATACCATAATATAAAAAAAAAAAACAAAAAACAAAACCCGCGGGCGGGCCACGGGCTATGTATTTTCCAGCCAGCAGAAATGCGGGCCATTTTGGCCCGCCCCGTTTGGACCGCGGGCCAGCACGGGCCAGAACGGGTCGGGCCGGACCGGCCCGTTTGACAGTGCTATATATGATAATAGCAGTCTTAAGAAAATGAATGGTAAAATAGTTTTTGATAAAATTCTCAAATGTGGTTAGTAATATCTTGTGTATGTGGCAACACTAAACATGATTTTTTGCCAACCAAACACAAGAAGCATGTGAGTCTGTTGTCATCAGTTTTGCTATGAAGCCAACTGTTTAGGCATCATAATGGAGTCAATCTTCTATATACAACAAATTAACCTACCATATTAACAAAATTGTATTATTGTTATTTAAATAATCAAATAATAGGGTAGATTTATTTGTTGTATATAGAAAGTTGGCTCTACTATGGAGCCAACTGTTGACTTCATAGCAAAACCATATTTCTATATATTTCTATAATTTTTAAAATTAACGATATTTCCATCGTTATAAATTACCATAATTTTTAAGATTAACAATATACACTCATTATATATTGCCAAATTATTTTTAAAATTATCAATATCTGCACTTGTTATTATATATTACTGTAATTTGTTAAAATTAACAAAATCGTAAACTTTTAGTAAAGTAGCATTTTTTGTTAAAGAAAAAAAAAAAGAAAAAAAAAAGAAAAGAAAAAAAAAATATACTATTTTCTTTGGCTTCACGCACCCTATAAATATCAGCCGTCCGTACACCCTCTTCGAAGTCCAAAACATGCTCACCGTAAGCCCTGCCGAGTGCCGCACGTGATTCGTCCCCATTGGGATTGCCCTCTATTCGTATGTTGCCCCCGCCGCCCCCAATGGAAGACCTTCCTGGCGGCAACACTCGTTTCCGCCGCCGCCGCCACTATCCGTCCGGCGATAGATTCCTGGCCATGCTGCAGCAGCCACCGTCCTCTTCCCCCTCTCCCCCGCTCGAACTCTCAGAGCACGACATTTTCGACACTCCCTTAGAATGCCTGCCCCCCTCTCCGACCCGCCCGACCCTCAATCCGGATCCAAAACCCGCCCCGAGCACGAACCCCAAGCAATACGGCATCCTAGCAGCCCTAACCATCAGCCACACGGCTCGATCTGCTGCCGGGCTGAATACCCGGCCCGTTTTCAACCACAAGGCCTCCCCGGTAATCTCGGCCACGCCGGGTCTGACTATCCGAAAGCCGCCGAAGGCTGAAGGGGGCAGGGCTCTGTTCCGTCCTCGGTCGGCGCCGGTGAATATTCCGGTGGTGCCGGCGTCGTTGATGCGGAGGAGGGCGCTGGAGATAAAGGATGCCATTTCTGAAGGGGAAGAGGAAGAAGACGAGGACAAGATGGTTTTGCCGCCTCACGAGGTGGTGGCGGCCAGGCATCCGCCGCGGGCAGCCTGCTCGGTGATGGAGGGTGCCGGCAGGACGTTGAAAGGGAGGGATCTCAGGCAGGTGCGCAATGCCGTTTGGCGAAAGATTGGTTTTCTTGATTGAATTTGGTTCAACTGAATGTTCCTAGGGAGTCTGTTGGGGGCTTAGTGTTGAAGAGTGGATAAGTGGGCTAATACAACAATGTTTATACTTTATACATGGGATTGAACTGTAAATCATATATATAGTCTAATTGAACTTCAAATAGAATGTTTGTCATTTATTTGCTTAATTGATTCTCATGTTGCAGTTATCCTTTAGTTGGTACTGTATATATTTGGGACTGAATTGTAAATATTTGGTCTTGATATATATATATATATATACCTGATTTATTATTTACATAGTGTAGTTGATAAATTTTTGCTCTGATTGCTGGCTTGGTTTGTTTGATATGGATGATGAGTACATGATGTGCTCGATATGGGAATGATGCAAGTACTTTATTCAACAATGATGGCGAGTAGTTGTTGTGCTCGACAGGGGAATGATGCAAGTACTTTATTTAACAATGACGGTTGTTGTTCTTTGAGCTAGCACGAAAGCGAGTATCAGTAATAATAGAATCGTGTCCAATGGTTTGCATGAAAATACAATATTTGTTTGTTTTAGGCCATTGACTTTTAAATTTGAATGTTAAAAGTCGAGCATAGCACTAAAAGTTTGAAATGCCGTATAGCGGTATAACATTACTCTATGGATTACTCTATCGTAAGATTTTTCATCAACGATTCGTGGAAAATTTCCATATTTGTTGAGCTCTAGAACTTCTGATCTAGGTAAAATTATGTTTCAGTTCGTGGAACGTCCATCTCTTAATTAGTAGTGCCTAAAAGAATCTTATTCAGGTAATGTTTAGGTCTCGTTTTGCATCTTACATTTACTATTAATTTCTTTTTGGGGTTTCTTCACTTTTTAATAAATGATATCCTAGCCATGGTCATGGCATTGGTAAAGCTAGCTAGTGAAGAATCACCAGCTTTTCATTTCATCTGAAATTCCCAACTGAAAAGAGGGTGATGTGATTAATTTAATTTTCTTTCTCTTTTCCTTTCTTTCTGTGTGTTGGAGCTCGAGTTCAAATATGGGTTATTTTACCTTAAACAAAAACCAAATTTCCCTCTAACTGTTATTTGATCACTGGTTTGAGTCATCAGTCGTGGAATATTATTGTTTTGTTTGTGTTTTATGGATTCGAGTTGCATACTGCTGCTATAGCTTGCAAGATCTTCCTTGAGATTTGATTTTTTTTTTTTTATGGAAAATGACATAAATAATCTGATCATAGCACGCATGAATTA